TGTGTGTGTGTGTGTGTGTGTGTGTGTGTGTGTGTGTGTGTGTGTGTTTATAGAGAATCTTTGTGTTCTTGTGTGTCCTTCAGCAGGAGAGGAGCCCTCAGCTCAGATTTCAGTGCCGGGAACAACGTGCTTGCCATAGGGGAATGACAGGGGAAATTGGACGGCAGACAGTGTGATTTGTGTGTGTACAGATTTCTTTGCATGTATGTGTGTGTGTGTGTGTGTCCTCAGACGCCTCCATGCATTCCTCATATTTTCAGCCTCTTGGCGGAACCATGCTGAGACACAAAAAACACGAGGGCAGAGCTGAGCTGCACAATCACCGCTGCCCCACCAGCCTCTGTCTTCACCAGATTTATTATTAATGCTCAGCATTAAGGAACGACTCCGTCTGAATGGGAGGCATGAAAAAGACGGTTTTGCACAGCGGGGAAGGAGAACCTTTGAAGTCCTACCGCCTTTCATGTCATCAGAATCCCTCAACGTCCCCATGAGCACACAGAGTGAATCGTGACTTCTAATGTTCGCGAAAACTTCTCTCTGCTCCTCTTTTATGTAGAGAATTGTGCGAGGAGGCTATGAACCACTCGGTCAGCTCTGCGTCCAGCCTAGACAGCCACGCCCCCTCCGAGAGCAGCAGCCAGTCGCAGGGCATGCGCTGGGAGGAACAGCAGAAGCTGCTGGCTCTGGAGCAGCTGTGTGGAGTTTTCCGGGTGGACCTGGGTCACATGAGGTCGCTGAGACTCTTCTTCAGGTCAGCCGGGTGTGGAAACCGCCACAGAGCGCTCACGATGTCGTGTGACTTGGTCCTCCCGTTCTGGCACGCTTTTGAGTGATATATATATATATTTTTTTTGTCTTGCATACGTCACTGTTTTGTTCCAGTGATGAGGCATGCACTAGTGGCCAGCTGGTGATAGCCAGCAGGGAAAGCCAGTATAAAATCCTCCATTTCCATCATGCTGGACTGGACAAGCTGGCTGAGGTTTTCCAGCAGTGGAAGTGCTGCAGAGAAACTCAGCTCAAAGACCAGGTCACCTTACAACCATCGCTTTGCACTTTTAGGTGGAGACGAAGCCCTGCCAACGATTGTTTGTTCGTTTTTCCACCTTTAACCTTCAGGTGTCAGACGAGAAGTCGTGTATGCAGTTCTCCATCCAGAGACCCACCCTGCCGTCAGCCGAGACCCATCCAGAAGAGAGGCTGTATCGAAGGCTGGACGTCACCACCTGGCTACGCCACCTCAACCACAGCGGACAGGTGGAGGAGGAGTACAAGTTGCGCAAGGTGCGCCTGATGGGGTGTGCGCGTCTGAAGGATCAGATAGGACCATTAAAAACGCCTCATCACACCTGGTTCAAACGCCACGATCCAAACTCCGAGTTGTGTTTTTGCTCCTTTCGTACACAGTCATTATGAGAGTCAGCTTCACAGTATATAAGTTTCAGTTTTAATCAGCACCCTTCTCTATAGAAAATGAAAGGGTTAGTTCGGGCCAGTACCCCTATGAGTCATTTAAGTTCTCCAGCACTGACTCAGTTTATGGTTTAGCAGCGTACGGAAATGAATCATTGGCAGTTAGACTGCGACCAAGACATTTCCTCAGTTCGCACATAGATGCAAAAAAACGAAACTCACTGTTTTACTGGATGATTGAGCAGTTTGTTTTCTTTTGCAGCATCGAGCAACACTCATGAAAATAATGCATGCGCTGATATTTGAGTATCCTTCCACAGCTGCCTGCTTGTTTGCATACAGTACAGCATGTTCGCATGGCTATCACGTGGCCCTCGTTTGACCCGGGAACGTCCGGGAAGGGGGCACCCTTGTGCTCACTGTTTTTGTTCGCCACCTGTTCGCCAGGCCATCTTTTTTGGAGGGATAGACCCGTCCATCCGTGGCGAGGTGTGGCCCTTCCTGCTGCACTACTACAGCTACGACTCCACATCTCAGGAGAGGGAGGCCTGGCGGCTGCAGAAGCGCACTCACTATCACGACATCCAGCAGAGGAGGTGGGCTAATTGTTCTGACGGCTGATCTCGTCTCTGTCAAAATCTTTTGACGGTTAAGTGGACGCATTCCAGATCCTTTTTTTTTTTTTTTTCAAGCACGCACCCCGGCAAACAGCAGATAATCTGCGATGTGGCTGCAGCGCTGGCTGCCAAATGCTCAGCCAGTCAAACATTAAACCATATGTGAGTCTGTTGTGACTTTTCATCGCAGACAGAGCAATCAATAGGCACAATCAGGGAAGTGTTAAGGGGAGGTGCTGGGTGTGATATAAAAGGTCTCTGGAGAAAAAACATGTCAACGCTTATCAGATCATACTCTCTTGTCTGAGAGGGAAAAAAAAAAAAAAGCTTTGGTATGCAAAGACAAGCACATGTGCACACATCACACACAAAGTTGAGCCCCGGGTTTTTATTTTTCTCCACCCTACCATCAATAGGTTAAGTGTGCACATATTTTCACACGTTCTGCTGCTCTTTCTATAATGAGTATGATAATTGGACAGGTTTCAACTGTGTGTCCTATTAATGTTTCGAGTACACCAGAAGGTCTTACTCAGGTTGGATAATTAGAGTTCTTGTTCTGACTTCAGCGTGAAATCCTTTAAAGACCCTTCGACTAGAGAAGCCTCCAGGGCCACTAGTTGATCATTAGGAGTGAGGATACGTGACTGTGCTTTCCCCCTCGTCCCTTACCTTGTGTCCTTCACTTGGCAGCTACAGCTGGAGGGAGTTCGGCTTTAAATAGTAAGTTATGTGTAATCAAACAAAGATGGAACATCTTTTGAAATATCGACAGACAAAATGAACAGAAAGAGGGAAATGACGGCAAGAGAACAGCATTTACTAATTAGTGTATGTCTATTTCTGGTATGCGTCTTTCTCTATTTTAATTTTTGCTGAAAGCAAAGCCTTAATGTCACTATGCAAACTCTATTTTAAAGATACATTTCTTCCAACAGAAAACAGAAGCAATGCATAAAGCCTGCCCATATTTCTTCTTTTGGATGTTTTTTTTTTTTTCATTTTAGTAATGAATACATGTGCACTTTGTCACTGCGTGCTGCATAGTTAAGATAAGAAAATGTAATTTGCGACTGCTTTGAAAGGTGAGGGTCCTTTCACTTGTTGAGAGGCTGAACTCTATTTTCAGCTGAGATTTGTTTGAAAGAAGAGAAAGTGTTTTTTCAGTTAGTAATATTTTCTGTTTGAAGAAAATAAAGAAAAAGACTAGTTGAATGAAGTGTCCTTTTTTTGTATCTGACTAAATTCTACTGATTCTGATTCACTTTTGCCATTACTACTTACAATTTGAGATAATACCTCTTCTTAATTTTATTTATTTGCAAAATATTTGTTTGCTTTTCTATTTTTCGATAAAAGGATATAGGTGGTATATGAGAACTTCTTTATAAGTAAGTGACATTTAAAATGTAAATTAATAGAAAATTCAGTACTAGTAACTTTACTCTAATCACCCAAAAAAGTGTTTTTGTTGCGTTTAGCAGAGATTTTGTGTATTTGTGTTTTTGTGTATTTGTTCATACCACTATTGCAAAGATTTCTGACATGCACGACATGGTACATCTTTTAAAGACTTCAAACTCTGAAAGCTGCGGCTTCAACTTTTCTGACTGGTTTTTCGTCATGCTTGAGTCTTTGCCTGTGTGTTGTGGGACTGCATATTTCAGATTTAATAAGAACTTTTGACAACTTGACTTGTTGATTTAGAGAGAAATTCATAGTTTGAACAATGGCAGAAAGCTACGCCGAAGGCAGGAAAACGAAGCCAAAAGCATTTCCACCATTAGTGGCTGAGGGTCTTTATGTCCCACCTGAGTATCTGCACACCAAACATGTCTATTCTTTGTGTAGCCAGTAAGCCCCAGAAGAATTATTTCCAACGGTCTGGTCTGCACCTTTTGTTAATTCAAATGTTAGTTTTACATAACTGTCACCAAGAGAGATCTTCTTGGATTGCATCGTAAATGTCCAGTCTCACTCTGTAAGGAAGAATTTCCAGCAGATCCTAAGATGAAATTTTGGTCTTCTTGGAGAATTCGTTTTGCATCACATGGACTGTTATTTGATTGAATTTTCTTGGCAGGGGGTAATACATTTTTCTTTGTTTGAAATATTTGCTTTGCTTTTTTTCTCTGATTCATTCTTAGAAAAAGTTTTGAAAATATTCTGTTAGCATGTCAGTCTAATTGTTTTTTTCTTTAAAGTTGTAGCTCTAAAATATTTGGGTATATCTGTGGCATTTCCTGACATTCTCTTTGTATGAATACGGTTTACTTTGAAGAACTTTTTAAGATTGGTGTTGTAGGCCATCTTAAGAAAAGGGTATTTCTAAATTGCTCGATGTTTGTGATTTTACCAGTTGTTGACCTATAAAACCGTAAATGTGAAGAAATTAAAATCTGTATCAAACTCCAAAGCAACATTCAATGGAGGAAAGATGTGGAAAGGTGGCTGGGGAGGGTCCAGCAGCACAAAAACATGGCACTAAAACTAAACAGTTGCGTGGCGTTGCATCAGGTGTGCGTGCATTATTCCTGGTGGGGCCACATGGAAAACAAACAGTGTTAATTAAATCCCCTCTGCTTGTTAGGACTTGAGTACATTAGTGCCACACACAGAGTACACTGTTAATGTAGTCCCTAACATCTAGAGGGATGGATGAGGGTTTATGGTTGTGGTTTTATCCTCAGTGGACCACTTGAGTCCACTGCTGCCCTGCATCTACATTTTTGTGCATTTTCAGATAAGTGTTAGCATGCTTTACACCAGAGTAACATTCTCAGCAATTACTAAAACATGTTTATGAGAATTACTGAGCAGATAAATCCAAATAAGATCATGGGTTTCTGACCTGTAATGGACCGTAATTGAGAGTTGCTTAACTTTTGCAGCTGGTTTTGGTCAAGGCAACAGCTGTGAGGTTCAGCTTAATTCTCTCGTCATTTTTCTGCTTCTGCTTTATTTCTGTTTCTGCTTTTCATTCCACAGATTGTCCATGAGCCCAGAAGAGCACAGTGAGTTCTGGAGAAAAGTCCAGTTCACAGTGGATAAAGATGTGGTTCGAACGGATCGCAGCAACCACTTCTTTAGAGGAGAGAATAACCCAAACGTGGAGATCATGAGGTCAGATCCTGTTATGAACCTTTGTTTTTTCCAAACTGGATCTTTTTTTTATTGGATTCATGGTCTTTCTCTTTCTCTCCTCTGACCTTCTTCATTATTCTCCTCCCTCAGCTATACACACAACCATACCTACAGTATTCATTTCATATTCTGAACCCTGGGGGAGCCACAAATGAGTTTCATGCTTTATTGACTCTGACTAAGCCATCTCAGTACTTTTGATGCATACTTGAAGCTAATGGCTTTCTAAATGAGGAGCAAGAGGATTTGAATAGCGTATTAGTTTAGCGACTCTCATCGAGGCTCCTGGTATTTGTCTTGGAATTATGTCTTATATTGTGTCTGAGGCAAGGCGATACCAGGGCTGCACACATCCACGTGCAGGGCAGCTTATCTCATGCTTCCCATAGTTATCTCGCATGTATTACTGATATGTTACAGACATGTTTGTCCGGTTCATTCAGTTCATTTTGGCTGAGCTGAAGATACAAGCGTTCTCATATCTCACATAGTCTCTTTATACTTTCTTATTGTTGTTCCGAAACAAGATCATGTCCTCAGGGTTTTCCTTTTATTTGAAAAATGTGTACTAATGCCTGAAGACTCCAAGGAAAGTTTTCTTCAAAGTAGTACACATGTGAAGTAAAAAAAAATGAAGAAGCAAAAGATCATTAATTAGCTCCCTGGTTACCCGAGGAGTTGGCATAGCAACTGCTAAAACAGAGATTGCAGTGTTTTTCTGGGCATCTCCAGCAGTGCTAAAATACATGTTGGCTCCTTCAGAGCGTTTGGGTGGGACTGTGCTTTTCAGGGGTTTTGGCAGAAATGCACAGAGGTTTATTGAGGACTGTCAGAATAATTGAAATGTTTATGATTCTGCATCACTCATGTATCCAAAGGCTGTTTCTTTTCCCCCGCTAAGACGTTACAACAGCATTTAGATGTCTGTGGTTTTTCCTGCCCCAGGCGGATTCTGCTCAACTATGCGGTGTTTAATCCGGACATGGGCTACTGCCAGGGCATGTCTGACCTGGTGGCCCCGCTGCTCACCGAGATCCAGGATGAAAGCGACACCTTCTGGTGCTTCGTCGGCCTCATGGAGAACACCATCTTCATCAGCTCTCCACGGGATGAAGATATGGAGAGGCAGCTGGTAGGACCTTTTTGTGTCCGCCTTTATATTGGTCAGATGACACCGCCGCACACATCTTTACTGTGTCTCGCTGTGTGCAGCAACCTCGTTAAATCCATTAATGCTTCCTCGATGCTGGGATCAAACTGCTCTGCAGAGTTAAGAGATTAAGCTCATTTCAAAAGCTTGACCAGTTATTAGATTAAAATTCGTTTATGCCATCTCTCTTTGATGGCTTCTATTTTCACTTTTACTTCAGTTCATAGTTTAAGTATAGCTCAGGCGAGGTTGATATTGTCATTTTGTACACTGCTGTTCTTTTTCCTTCTGCTAAAATGTCACATTTTCTTTTAGAACATCTTTTTTAAAATGCCGACGCATCTTTTTAGGAATGCTAAAGAGACTGGAACCAGAAATATGTTTTGTTGTGATATTGTTAAGCCAAATAGGGAAATGGCTGTACTATAAATGAGCCGTTTCAGGCAACCCAGGAGATTATTTTTTTGGAAGGCAATGACTATTTTTCATGGAAACTTTGGTAACTATGCAGATATCTTTTTTTGGCCCCACAGAGGATGAAAAAGTATTTTCTATTCTACTCTATTCTGTTCTAATCAACCCTGACTAGGCCTGAATAGCCTTAAGGAACACGCAGAAAGGTTGTTAATGGTTACAGGATGTCACAGACACCCATTTAGAATGCAGTGCAGGCTCAACTGCGCACATGCAGACCCTACTGTTCTGCAAACCAGTATCTTAGGGGTTAAACCGATACTAGTGGCCCCCAGCAAAACACAAGAAAATGAATTCCCATTCCGCAGATGTACCTGCGGGAGCTGCTGCGCCTCATGCTGCCGCGCTTCCACCAACACCTGACCAGGCTCGGAGAGGACGGCCTCCAGCTGCTCTTCTGCCATCGATGGATCCTGCTCTGCTTTAAGAGAGAGTTCCCTGACACAGAGGCTCTGCGTATGTGGGAGGCGTGCTGGGCACACTACCAGGTCAGGGCAAAGTCCAAACTGCTCCTCCACATAAATCGTTTTAGTGCATGAAGGGGGTTGCTGGGCTGCTTTTTTTTTTTTTCTTTTCACTGCAGTTCCACAATTATGTTGACTTTCAGGGGGCTTGCAAGAGGGAATTGTTGATGTTGTCTGTAACAAAGAGCCCATGCATGCCTTGAAAGCCTGTCGATGCTGACTACTGTAATCCTGCTAAATGGCTATAAAATGTACTCTCAGTCTTGTAGGGGATTTCTTCAGCTAATTGAGCAGTGATTTGACTTAAAGCACCACATTTTTGGCATTCCAAAATTTTTCAGTGAAAGCTTATTATGTTATGCAATGTACATAAAGGAAAGTCAAAGTAGATATAAAGATAGTAATTAAGTCGAGGCCTGCATTTCAGGTCAGGTCACTATGCAGTTAAATCAATGCGCCCCGTTCGTGTTTCATCCGCTTTTTATGGCTTTGATCAGGATCCAGTAAACTTGAAACGGCGCCGTGTTCCAGAGTTTAACACCTTCCCTTGCTGAGGTCGAGTCATGTATCACTGTCTCTGCCTCGCGCCATCTATTCCGACTGCTAAATGTTCACATCGTCAGCTACAGTTGGTGATAGAGGAGATAGTGTGTGAGAGTTTGGTTTAGGCAGTTAAAAATCGTTTACCAGATGGGCTGTTTATGATTGGTATCAGATTTGTCTGTAAAGACCTGCTATCATGTATTATTCAGGCACAACCGGTTAGTTTTTTGTTGTTTTTTTGCTCTTTATCTACAAAGTGTAAACTTCTGAAAAACCAAGTAAGCACATCCTTAAAAGTTTAACAGTGCACACTTTAAGACGTAATTACTACAAAACTTGAACAGTATATATTTCACTTGGTCTGTAGCTGTCCCGTTTGCGCCCCATAAGGGCATGAGATCATGTAGATGTAAATGACTACATCTTCCTGTATTTGTCCTCTGTCTTTGACCCCTGCCCTCTTGTTTTATAGACAGACTACTTCCACCTGTTCTTGTGCGTGGCCATCATCGTTCTCTATGGGGACGATGTGACCGAGCAGCAGCTCGCCACTGACCAAATGCTGCTCCACTTCAGCAATCTCTCCATGCACATGAACGGAGAACTCGTGCTACGCAAGGTATGGCCTTTGTTTTTTTTTTCTGTTTTATTACATTTGTGCCACGTTGCCACATTCTCATTTTGTTACTCCGCACCCATGCAAACAATCATAGTGGATACCCTTGAAATTCATCACCACACAGCTGCATTGTTAGTCATTTAATCCAAACCTGGGGGTGCTCTGAGGCTGGAAGATATGCATGTTATTATGTGTGTGCTTGCTTCCTCATGTTTATGGATGCTGTGTCTGTGCTACTGCACCAACAGGCAGCACGTATCTGTTAGCATGCACACGATGTTCCTCGTATTGTTGCTTGAGATTTTTTTTTATCTGATGTCTTATAAGCAGGTAGGTAAATGATGAAGAGCTGGGTTTCACAGTCTTCTTTTATCTTTTAGCCAGAAGACAAGGCTATTGATTTATTTAAATGTTTCACTTTTCACATTTGCCCCCTTTTCTTCAGGCCCGCAGCCTTCTCTACCAGTTCCGCCTCCTCCCCAGAATCCCGTGCAGCCTACATGACCTTTGTAAATTGTGCGGCCCGGGGATGTGGGACAGCCGCTACATCCCCACTGTGGAGTGTTCAGGTGAACACCCAGACTCCCAGAGCTGCCCCTATGGAGGCACGTCCACCCCACAGCCCTCCTCCCCCTCCCCTTCGTCCTCACCAAACCCCACCCCCACACCTCCCGCGGAAGGTAAGCGGGGCTCCAAAAAACGGGACATTTTCACCTTTCGAAAGCCGTCCTGAGACGAACACCACGGGGAGCTTGTTTTGGTTAAAGTTAGAGCAGCAAATGTTTGGATCCCTCTGCTGGATCTCCAGACTGCTTGCTGCCCCTGGACACCTCTCTCCACTCTCCATATTTCTGATTTTTTTTGTTTTTTTGTTATCTTATTGAAGATTTTTGTCATTTGATCTTTTCATGGGGTGCAACGTGGAACACTGCCTTACAGAATGTTGTTTTTGACGTTCACTATCATGATTCTGCAACGAGGATTGGTTCACTGTCGGAAAGATCAGTGGTGGAGAAGCTGCTCCTCTTAGAGCACAATGGACAATCACCAGATGCTGGGTTGGGCTTGAGCTACTTCAGGTTCAAGGCTGCCGCTGGCTTGGCATTCGTCCACGGGCTTTGTGGGCAGGGGGTCACATCAGGGTCTCATGCAACTGGACTGAATTCTTCAGACTCTGGGTCAAAAAGAACTGGGGATTCATTCACAGGACTTGAAGTCGAACCTTTGAAAATGTTCCTGTGCTCCGACAATGGCTCATTTGTTTTAATATCAAACTATATGTACATATGTCATGCCTGAGCAGGACATTTTGAGATGGAATCCAAACTATTGGTGTTAGCAAAGGAAGATTAACCTACAGCATTGGAATGAATTACTTCTCTTTTTTTATTTAATGTTTCAAAAAATGAATGTTTGCGTTTATATCAGTAGGTAAACATATTTAGCAATATTCTATCTTCGCATGAGAAATCCTTTCCACATAGGGGGCACAACAAACTTGTTGTCGGAAAACAATTGAGCCCAAAACAGAGCTTAAGAATGTGTTTATATAACAAACACTGTGACAGGGCTTCTCGTTTCTCATCACATGCTGGCAAAGAATATCCTCCTAGTTTCTGAATGATCGTGGGTCTTTTTTTCATGTCAAGTAGGAGGAAGAGAAGCATATCAGTCAAAGGTTCAAGATTCACACGCTTGCATCACTAAATATCAAATGTCTGAGGCATAGGACACGACATCATAGTTGCCAAAGACAGCACGGATCATGGTTTCATCCAAACTGGAATGAATAGCTCTCTGTTCTACTTGAAATTTCATCCTTTGAAACACGTTTGTGACAGCACTGTTTCCTTGTGCCATTCTTCACATATTCACCTTGAATGAATGAAAACACACTCAAAAGAATCCATTCACATGAATGGATCTGTTTTTTGCCTCTTCTCACTGAACATCAACACTATGAAAGTATTGGAAACGTGTTTGAGTGTATAATCTTTAAGGATCTCTTAACATCTGGTAAGCCTTTGAAGGCCCCATGCAGTTATTTTGAGGAGAATCATAGTGGGAAAGAAGAGATATAGGCTTGTTGTTTATGTATTTAGGCTTCCTACAGGGATGTGCTGCATAGTGATGTAGCCTCAGGTGTTAAGACGGTCTCCACTCAGATTCTTTCCCCTGAGAGCCTCTGAGTGACACCCTCAGGATTGTAACATCTGCAAAAAAGCTGCTAAAATGAAACATTGATTTGTTCACTGAGCCTTCTACAGTCTCCGCAAGACATTCAAAACTGCTTTTCTCTGTGAGTTATTAAAACAGCTTCTGGTGGCACCGAGATTGCATTGAAATGAGTTAAGTTAAAAACACATGATGGGAAAATACTGTGTGTGTGCGCGTGTGTGTGTGCGTGCGTGCGTGTGTGAGAGAGAGAGGGAGATTTATCTCATGGATTTATTAACATTAAAATCACATTGTTTACACAAACAAGTCACTCCTCTTTAAAGAGTCTGTTGTGAAATGTGGTCATGAATGTACAATGTCGCTGTTCAGTTCAATGACATGTTATTGTATTACTATACACATCAGAGCAAAAAGAAACTATTCTTATCACTGGTATTAATAAAAACAGCAGTAATGAGCAACTGTCATGCTCTCATGAATCAGAGGAAATATTTTTGCAAAACCTAAAAGCAAACGAGGCAAATACACCCTTTTTTTAATTGCCATTTTGAGATTGAATAGTGATTTTGTTGGTCTGAACAACAGATCAGTGCTACTATCTGCACCGTTAGCTTAAATTACCCTAAAATTACAAACATTTGAATTGGTACAGGTATATTGGAACACATGGGAAGTTTATCATTAATCACAAACTACATTGTTACAGCGTGAACTTTAGAAAATGTAGCTTTTATTACAGCTGACAAACACAATTATTGACACCCTGTGGAGACATTTAAACTTTCTCATCAAACAAAATTAAGAATAAACCCAAAGATAAATAATATTACGCATGACCAAAAAATAGGCTTGAACTAGTTGCAAATAAAAATTTTGTTTGCCTACAAAAGGACACTTGTTGCTGTTTCAGCTTTTTTTTCCAAGATGGTGAAGCAACTAGATGTCTGACAGTGTCAGATATAATATGAAAAACAGTTACAAGGTAATAAACTTGAGAAAGACCTTGGCAATCATGTTGTTTAAAAAGTGCTTCCAGATTGCTTTTTGTTGACATGAATAAGAGTCTTAGCTAGAAAAGTCTGTGTTTGTTAATGTGGATTCAGGGAAGGAAAAAAAACAACACACAAGAGGTTTTTTTATTTTTCTATTCACCCTGGAGGGTTATGAGGGTTTCGGTATGTATCATACGTTGTTCACTCAGCCAAGCAGAACACAGAGGAGGAAACCACAACTGAAAGACGCTCAAAAACAGTCTAGAACAGTCTTTCTGGGATAACCCTCTATGAATAGATAAAACAAACTAGATCACTTCGGGAATGCAGAGTATCGGCTCGATGGGTGAGAATTTAAGCCCACTGTGAAATATGTTGGAGTTCATGGCATGCCGTGGGCTGCTGCCTGTTTCCCAACTTCTGCAAGCATGAAATCAGATGATTTCCAGGTATTTTAAAGTAATTTGTGATATCCGGTTTCAGAATATTGGTTTAAAGTAAAGTTCTTAAGTATTTAAGCAATACAACTGAAAGGGCACAACCAACAAGAATATTTGAAGACTGACACATTAGTTGTTTTAGTCCACTGAGTTATAAGTTCTCACCCAATTAGATTAAACATAGACACAAAAGACTTTGAACACACAGCAATGAGAGTGGCAAAAACTTAGAGAAGCCTTTGTCTTACTGTCAGAAACATTTACAGGCTGTCAGAGTTTCCAGGAGTTCTGCAGTAAAGCATTAGTGAAAAGTCAGGCATTTAGGGACTTTCACTTTTACCATAGAAACACTAAATAGAAGCCCTTATTTTATTAGTTTTTGTTGATTCAAAGCATCTTTTTACAAAGCATACAGTTTTTTTCTGATTCCCATAACTGGGACCAGCATTTGCATCCATCCTGAATCTCATCAGAAACCACAAACAGAAAATCTGCAAACATCAAATCTGCAAAAGAATGTTTGAGTTTATATTTTTCTAATAATTGTTTGATTGAACTTAAAGTGTGAGGATCAGGGTGATGGGATTTAAATAGACATCACTTTGTTGAGCCCCCTCACAATTAACCACCGTTGAGTCAGTATAATTACATGTTAGTCACAACTGAAACGGGACAATAAAAAGCCACAAGTTAAAACGAGGTTTGTGTTCATTTTTAAAATATGATCTAATTGTAATTCAGTTGGAGAAAAGCCATAAATAGTTATTGACTAGATAAAAGCTTCTGAGTTCATAAAGTTTCCATCAAAGCAGCAGCATTGCAATAACAAACCCACAGCCTGAAAGCAATTCCCCTACAGCTTCTGCACATTTTTTCTTAAGTTACCCAGTTTGAAAGTAATTTTCATATTAAAGAAAACAACAGCAGTATTTGGGTAATATTTGCTCATATGATTTCAGGCACTGACAGCCAATCAGTCTAAGCTGACAGTAAGAAAGGTCTTTTTGAAATGATGTAATTTTAAACAGCGGTTACTTCATGTCACCTCATGCATGATGGGTAAAAGAGGTATGTATTATTACAAAGACTACTTTACTGAATGTAGCAGTGTGTCAGAAATTAGATTTATTTTTTCATTTCTTTTCTAAACTAATCTTAAAATTGAACTATGTGGCACCTGACCAGTTTTGGCATCGTCATCTCTGCTCTTCCCTAACCTGCCATTCCCACATGAGGTGTTGTTTTGCATACCTTCCTTTCAGAGTTGAAAGATCAAAAAACATGGTGAGCGAACTCAGCCTTACAGGGAATTTGCATTCCAGTTTTATGACGAGCGCTACGCGGGGTCCCAAGAGAAAACCAGCAGAGGCAGACTGTCTGTTTCACAGAGTTTAACCCCAAACGATCCAACTATCTCTTATCAGACCGCGCTGTTTGCTGTGGCTGTTTGACAGAGTGTGTGAGAAGGCTCAGGCACATGACGGCGATTAACCGCCTGTCATGGACAGCTGTGGAGATGTTATCTGACTTCACCGTCAGGTGGCTGATTTCTCGAAAATAAAAGGAAGCGGTCGGGCTGACATGCGTCTTTGGGGAATGAGTCTGCCAGGCCAGTTTAGTCACATTGTGGTATCAGATAAAACAACATTCGATACTCAGGCCTATTGTGAGTGTTGACCAACACTTGACAAGCATTTGATGACTCAGCAGTCGGGAGGTATTTTTCACTTGGATGGACCTGGCCCTCTTTTTCTGTGGCTAGCAAGACGTACATGAGCTGAGCTTCAAAGGAAAATGAGTCAGCGGTGTCTTTAACTTATACCCTGAGATCATCAGAAGGGCTAAATCATTGTGGGTGGGTGTGTAGTGTAGGTGTGATTAGTCTACAATCAAGAGAGCCTGCTGCTTTTGGTGGGGGCCTGCCTGCCTGCAATTACAACCCATTAGCTCCTGATTGATAGCTCCTCTCAGGGCTAATGCACTTTTATGACAGAAAAACCAGATAAAGGGAAAATGAATAAAATGCCACTTGTCATTGCTCATATCATTAGTCTATTTTTTGTAGTTGCATATATTTAATTCACAAAAACGCAGCATCATTTCTGCATAATATGTGAATATACGCGAATGATGTGGAATAAACTGAACCCTATAAACCAAATCACCTTGTTGGAAAGTCTTCTGCCGTGCCTGTTGGAGTTATTTTGCTTATTACTACATTATTTTAGATTAGAGAACTTTTATTGCATAAGCTTTGATTGATAAGATCTGTGGTGCAACGGTAAGATGTGTGTGTGTGTGTGCCTCTCATTGTTAAACCACACACACATACACACACACTTTACGCAAAGCACAAGGCTCTTTGTGTCACCGTTGTACTCAAATACTCCATCGCTGCTCCATCACCCTTTGCATACACGGCACACTAAAAACCCGCCTGCGTTTTCATGCATTATTGCTTCCACCTAGCCACCTTTTTCTTCCAAACGCTCTACCAACCATCAAATGCACCCATTGTTGAATTATTGCCCTTTCCTCCCCTCCTCCTCAATTCTCCAGTTTCCCCTACCTCTGACTGAGTGACAGTGTGGGGCCTGGCTACTTTCCTGTCACGGGGCCGGCATTGAACGTTGGGTTATTACCCCCTAATTATCAATTATAGGGCTCGGCTTCCACACCTGGAGCAGGCCAGGCTGGGAATGAGCTTAGGCCATTAGGATGGACCTCCGGCCGGGCTGTTTATAGAGGGGGCAGGGCTCTAGCCTCTGAAGGTGTTAATGGGCCTTTCAGGGGTATAGTCGGCAGGCTGATCCACCACGGTGTCTGATAACTGAGAGGGTTGATTCTTGCTGAAATGCTGCTGGGGATTCTGGTGTTACTGCAGGGACAGACTACATTAGCTGGCACATTGCTGGTTTCCCACATCTGCCTTTTGCAAGTCCCGACATGGATTTTCTTGGAGACCAGATTTGGTTTAATCATCAAACTTTGCTGTGAAAGGACAAGATGCATATGACATATTAAAGTGAAACTTCTCCTATTTCACTTTGTCTCTTGCAAATTTAATTTCTGAAGCAATAAGTGTGATTTTTACAGACGGGAAAAAATTCTGTTTAAAAGGCTTGAGTTTTAACCAAGAAAGAAGAATATACAAATGAGGAATCGGAGTTAGATGATGGCAACTGAAGGGTGCACAGTTCAGAGCAGCCTAACCCTTTCAGGGTTGACAGGTGAACAGCTAAGAATGGATTAGGGATTTAAAGGACTGACTTCTATTTAAAAGCACCATGTAGATTTGTGTAAAAAAAATGTTTCAATGTATTATAAAGCTGATTGAGTCCTCAAAAAAGACAAACAAATCTCAAATAAATGTATATATCTAAGGAAAAAGATGTACATTTTGAAGTGGAAGTCTGAAACACTTTGAGGCACAGCAGACTGATTACCGCCTTTGTAAAGTCTTCTACTCCGTGTGTTTAGGACATTTGCATTGAACTGTCCAGTGATCACAAATCAAGTCACTCATTTCCAAGACAAATTTGATAACTGGATTCCTCAGACCATGCAGCTAATTCATCTTATGAGCTCAGCTGGTGGATCCTCCCCTGCTGAGCTGGATAAATGCATTAGTATAATAATAATAATGATAATAATAATGATGTTCCCATTCCAAGCAATGTCAATGTATGTTATCTTTAAATTATTCTGGGAATGTTTTTTTTATTTAGTATGTTTACCCAGACATGCCAGCTCCACACCATGTTGGCAGTACAATCATTTGTTCCTGGAGAG